AAACCACTCTGCCACCAGGCCTCCCACTGGTGTTAAGGATGACACGGAAACATTTAAGGAACCCAGAAGAAGATGGGATGACAGCATGCTCTCAATGAAACAATTAAGACCACCTACCACGTAATTACTGACGGTCTCTGTCACGACGCTTCGAACGGGGACTTTGGAGCTTCCCATGGCAGAGGGTGCAGGGGAGGATGGCGGTATCAGAGCTGCAGCAAGGGCAGCCGGAGGGACGGGGGGCACCACCAAAGGAGGAGGGGGTGGAGGGGTGACGTGGACAGGAGCTGGTGCCGGGGAGGGAGGCGGCGGAGGCGTTTTGGGTCGAACCAGGAGAGGTAACGGTTTAGGCTCCGTAGCGGGCATCACTTTGCTGATGACACTGTCGGACAAAAAGAGAAAGAGTGGACAATTCAGCATTAGACAATTCATTCAATTAAGCAAAAATGATGCACAGTTAAGGGCGGGAGGAAAAGACATAATTCTGTTCACGAAGTAGTAGCAGAGATTCATAACGGCATCAAAGAGAATAAGGGAAGGAAACCAAAGTTACATCAAATTCCAACACAGGTACCGTAGTCCTTGACCTACGACCACTTTACATTGCTAAGCGTGCCAGGTTCACGTAACAACTCTAACTGAACAATGGTGATTCACTTAACAACCGTGGCAAAGAAGGGCATAAAACGGGGCCAAGCTCACCAAGCAACGGTCTCGCTCAACAACAGGCGTTTTGGACTCTACTGTTGCCATTAATGGAGGAGTGCCTGTAATTCTTTCTTCCCTTCTAGTCTGACTGCCTACATGCGTCTTGCTGGATAGAAGGATCAGAATAGAGCTGGAAGGGACCTTGGAGGTCTTCTAGTCCAGCCCCCTCCTCAAGCAGGAGATCTTATACCATTTCAGACAAGTGACTGTCCATTCTCTTCTTAAAAACCTCCAGTGATGAAGCACCAACAACTTCTGGAGGCAACTTCTGTTCCACTGGTTAATTGTCCTCACTGTTAGGAAGTGTCTCCTCAATTCCAGGTTGCTTCCCTCCTTGATTAGTTTCCATCCATTGTTTCGTGTCCTGTTTCTAGTGTTTTGGAAAATACTGTAAATTGTCCCCCTCTTCTTTGGGGCAGCCTCTCAAATACTGGAATGCTACTATCAAATCCCCCCCTAGTCCTTCTAGCAAACCCAAATCCTCCAGCCGTTCCTCACATGTTTTAGCCTCCAGGCCTTTGATCATCTTAGTTGCTCTTCTTTGCACTTTTTCTAACGCCCAAGGTAAATTTCAGGATCCTGAGTATGAAGACTTTCTGTTCTCCGAGCTTACCATTTCGCAAACCACCGCCAAAGTCTCTCAAACCTGAGCTGCAAGTATCTTCTATTATTTCAAAACGGCGACTTTTGTGTTATTCTTTTATTCTGACAACGACGAAAGCAATAACCCTTAATTAGGGTAAATAATATTACGCAGGATATATATTGTACTCAGCAGGCAACTATTAATTGCTGCCTTCTTTATAATATAAAGCAGGGTTGCATTGCAATATATAAACAGAGCAGCTAGATTCCATGGCCTAGCATGGAATCTGTTCAGAGTGGGACAGGTAGGCCCAGCAGTTACCTCCAAATGTGCAACTGAAAAAAGAAAAGGAAAGGAAAGGAAAAGGAAAAAGAGGAGGAATCTTGGGGGTTGTAGTCCCCACATTTTTGGAGAATGCCAGATTAAAAAACAATGCTTTGGAGAAAGAGCAGCTAAAGTGTACACAGGTGGTCCTTGCTTTATGGCAACAATCAAACCCAAAACTTCTGTTGCTAAGCAAGACAGTCGAAGTGAATTTTGCTCCATTTTACAACCATTCTTGCCACCATGGTTAAGTCAGTAACATGGTTGTTAAGTGAATTTGGCTTCCCCATTGGCTTTGCTTGTCAGAAGGGGGGCAAAAGGGGATCATGTGACCCTAGGGCACTGCCCCATCGTAAAAAATGAACAAGGGGTCCAAATTTTGATCGTGGAGATGCTGCAACGGTCCTGAAGTATGGAAAAACGGGCCTAAGTCACTTTTCTCAGTGCTTTGTAACTTCGAAGGCTCACTAAACCTCCCTTCAAGATTGCAAGTGAATTTTGTTTTATAAGGAGTGGTACCTTCGGTGTATCAAGATGGAAAATTTTAAAGAAGCTCCAACAGGCGATAATGGGCATTCATTCACCTATTGGGAAACTTTTATTTTTCTATGATTATCTAATTAGCATCTTGATTANATCACTCCATGCACATGTGGAAATGTATGACTAGCTTTTCTCCCCCAACCCTAATTACTTGCATAGGGATTATTCTTTATACTATTTATGTTGTTTTTATTTTTTGTCATGGATTGCACCAGTGACGCTAAAACCAATTTTGTTGTTTAAATGAAGTACAATGACAATAAAGTCTATATTATACTATACTAGAGCTCATTCCAAGATGCAGAAGAGATGGAAAACAAGTCTTACTTCAACTGTTCTTGAGAACAGCCACATTTGGAATCTCCAACTTTTTCTGTTCCAGATAGTCATTATAAGACATCCTATTGCTATAATTTTAAGAACGGATGTCTGGATTTCCCTTGTCTTTCTTCTCTATTTTCTTTTGGCTCATGTAAGTCACAGTTAAGCACTGGTGCATTTTACCGTTCCTATGTAAAATGTTATAGAGCTTTTTTCAGCTCTACAGAAGGGGTTCAAAACTTAATCACAATATTTTTTAAAATGCCATGCCTTTTGATGTTAATATTTTTTTTATTTTTACAGTAACACTAAACTATAAAAATTAAGGTAACTATTGCCACTGTAATTCAGATATAAGTTTCATCAAACAGATAAGCCTATTTCACTTCCTACCATACTGGTTTTCTTTTTAATCCCACATTTCTTTCATATAGTTTATAATGACAATTTGCAAATTTGATCATGCTTATCAACAAATAAGCCAAATGCAATGGATGGTTTTACATTGCCAACTTGTATTTACACAGTACAAACTTCTCCCTGGTCCCTACTGATTCAAACAATGTTGGTTATTTATTTAAAAAATAATACATTACTAAATAATAATAGTCTGTTCTTCATGTATGCACTCCAATATGGGAAGAGCAGTGAACACTGGTGGAATGCTGCCAGTTTAACAATTGGTTCATTGAGCATGTGCTTTGCATGCGCATGCGCCTAAAATGCTTATGTGCAGCACTGAAAATGGAGCATTTAGAAGCTCAGTTGCTTACCTTCCTAATCAGCAATGGTAAGTAAAACAGTGAGGGGGGGAGAATCAGCTGTGCTGCACAATTGAAATGAGCTAGAAAGCAGGAAATAAAGGAAAGGGTAGAGCAGGGGTGGGGTGGGGCCAACTAATTGTCAGAGCTGGCCTGAACCAGTCCAAACCAGATGAATACCACCTCTGACACTTAAAAAACTTCCTCCCTTCCTAACCACAGGATTCCAGTTCAATCACATGAAAAAATAAGTTCCTCTGTAGAATCGTACTGTGAACATGGGGATGACTTTTCATCAACATACCTAGGAAAGGAGAAGAATGGCTCCCAAATTCTGAATTGAACATGCAAAGTTGATTCCTGAGTACTTTAATTTGTTTGTCACAAATAATAAGCAAAGTACAAGGAAATTGTTTAATAGGCTGGAGTTTTGATTTTTTCTTCTTCACGTAATTGAGATACTAGAAGGTTCTTTGACTAGTTTTATAGCAAAACCAGTGGTGGGCTATGCCCAGTATGCCCCAGTACGGGTGTACCGGTGCCTGCTGGGAGCACCAGGTATCATTCCAGTATGGTGCTCCGGTGGGCCCACCCACCCTTCTTACCTGTATTTGACCCAACTGGGCCATTTGTGAATGCACACGGAGCATACGGCGCCTGCACGACGCTCCACCGAGCAACTGGACGGTTACGAGCCCAAGCGTGTGCAGCACGCATGCACGTGGTGGATACCCAGCCCTGTTGCAGCGTACCAGTTGCAACGGGATCTGGAACCCACCACTGGGCAAAACATGACATGGAAATCAATTGGACCAGAAATACAGGCAATCAGAATTAAAGAATGTACATGCCAAATAGATTTCCCAGTTTGATCATGAAAATAGTTCTGGTTTTGCTAAATTTTGTAAGTGACTTAATACATAATAACCATCCGACTAACAGACACATCCATGTTGGAAATGGTATAAAGACAGTTAAATGACTGTCAGTTCTATCAGAATATGATTTCTACTATTTACCTTTGATACTACGACATTTATTTCCCCCAAATGCCTTTCCTGATCTAATACTTATTTGTGTGCAATCCCTTTTTATATTTATATTTGTTTTTATATTGTCTATCAAGATGGCACTCCAAACAATTTGTAATAAAATAAAAATATCAAAACCATCATGAAAGCTTGTTAAACATTTAATTAAAAATGTCAACAATTAAAAAAGCAGAAACCAGCAGAACAAATTTGTCTTTGCTAAATGTCGAGAGTTTTGAGAAACATTCTTATTGGAATGATTTTTTTAAAATCTCTAGTTACTAATAAAAAATAAACTGATAATAAATAGCATCAAATAAATCACTGGTGCTATCTTAAAAAAACAATTCACTTTACAAAGAAGACAGCCTCTAGACACAATCATTGAGCAATTGTTCATGTAAATTTGGTGCCATTTGCTCCCAAGGTTTTAAGTTGTACAGGATTCCCGCTGCCACAATTTGAATTTTCGGTAAATCTGATCTGTCATCCTGATTACTAGCACTTATAGTATCAAATAAAGAAGTTTCTCCACTATGCATAATGAGTCAGATTGCAATCAAGGATATCTAAATAATAGAATTATGCCTATGATTGTATTATAGTATTACTGTATTAATGATATGTTATTCTGAGACAGCTTAATCTTTTACTTTTTTGTGGCTTTTTCACACCCAATTGATCACTTTTTCTACCCAAAGGATTGCAAGAAGCAAGAAAACTCACCGTGGTTGTCTTTATTCTCCCACCGGGTTGTGTACAGGTCCAGCCTGATCTATTGATTAGCAAATCACATCCTTCTCCTTCTAAACATGGAAGCATTTCACACCATTGTTTTGTTTTAATAATGCGTGCTGTTCAGAAGGAAAGAGAAAAAAAAGAGAAAAAATCAGTTTGCAATACATGTATTTTTCTCTCTCCAGTGTACATTTTGATGACGATTCAGTAATCACATTTGTTATTCTTTGTCCTCACTCTTCTTCACTATCATGTGAAGTACACATTGTATATCGGACATTAATACGATTGAGCGGGTTGAGATGAATCCTCCATTCCTCTGCTCACAACAGAATCCCTTATGCCACCAGGCTCGAAAGTTTGGGCTTGGACAATCTGGAACTGTGCTGTCTAAAGTCTGACCTAAGCATAGTACACAAAATTATCTGCTACAGCTTCCTACCTGTCAATGACTACTTCAGCTTCAATCACAATAATACATGGCAAACAATAGATACAAACTCAAGGTAAACCCATCCAAACACAATTGCAGAAAATACAACTACAGCAACAGAGTGGTCCACGCCTGGAATGCTCTACCGGACTCCATTGTAACAGAATGCTGAATTTCTCTCCCTATCCTGATCTTTTATCAACTACTGAATATATTGCTTTCCTTCTTCTTCTTTTTAAACAAATCCCCTTTTCCTGCTCTTTCCATTGAGTATGTTTATATTAGTATTATCACCGCATGGGATCTGTATCACTGCAAGAGAAGGACTGTAATGTATAGCCTGTAATTGAAAATATTAACACAGTCATATGATTGAGACTTAACGGCAGGGCGTCCCTCTCAAATCAAGAGTATAGATTTCAGAGAACCTGTTGGATTGTAACAAGATAATAAGTATATGGTAACCTATGTTAAATTATCATAACTCATAAAGCTTTCAAAACAGGAAGACTTTTTGTTTTCACAGAGAGCAGAAGTTGTACTATCTAATAGTAATAATAAAACAAATAAGAGCAGCAAGAAGAGAAAATGTACCCAGCAGACAGAGAGACAGATACACAGAGAGA